ATGAATATATGCAAGATGATCTGTTAAATTACAGATTGTTACCCCTCCTCAAAGGAAAAGAAAGCAAGAAAGAAAGACCAACACATCATAACCAAACAGGGCTATAGTAGGATTCCAAGGGAAGTTTTAAATTTTTGAAGTAAGTCATCATATTAATTGAACTGAACACAGGAAAAAATCATTGAGAAAAAATATGATTTTATTTTGTTAATTTTAAAATTGAATTTAGCCCAGCTGGTATAGCTCAGCAGTTGAGCATCGACCTAGAAACTAAGAGTTGCTGGTTCGATTCCTGGTAAGGGCACATGCCTATGTTGTGGGCTCAATCCCCAGTGGGGGGAGTGCAGGAGTCAGCCTGATTGATGTTTCTATCTCTCTATCCCTCTCCCTTCCTCTCTCTGTAAAAATCAATGAAAACATATTTTAAAAAAATAAAATAAATTGAATTTATTAGGGTGACATTGGTTCAAAAAACCATACAGGTTTCAAGTCAAATAAAACATCATCTGCACATTGCATGATGCGCCCATCTCTCCAAGCAAAGTCTCTTTCCATCCCGATGTTTCCCCCCCTTTGCCCACCTCCACTCACCCTATGTGAAAAGATGCCCAACCATCCTCATATTAAGAGAAATGAAAATGAAAACCACACTTGGCATACCATTTCTCACCTATGAGATTAGCAAAAATCTAAAAGTTGAACAATCCACTCTGCTGGTGAATTTGGGGGAAAACTGTTGGGGGTAGTCAAAGTGATACAATCATACAGAGGTGTGGGTGGAAATATTTACCAAATTAAAATGCACTTAATTATGACTCAGAAACTGCACTTCTGGGACTCTATTCTATGAATACATCCAACACGTTTGGAAAACATATTACAAGGTGGCTCATTGTGGCATTGTTTGAAATAGAAAAGAATAGGGGGGGAAAATCTGTGTTCATCAGTTGGGCTCAAAGAAATCAATAAAATCAAGTAATCAACATGATTCCAGCCAGTAGACTCAAGCATCAAGATGTAACATTAGAAGAAAATAACATGGCTTCAAAGCCAAGACAAAGTAAGAGCTGGAAACCAGTATATCTGACAAATTGCAATTTGGGGGGGAAAAATTGGAATCAATGAGTCCAGATTGTATCCAGGTGTTCTAGAAGAATGTTACAGTAGTACTTACTATTCCTTAATTGCGCTGCTATTTCTTAAAAACTAATTGTGTATTACATAATGTATCTGCAATCAGAAAGGCAATAAATCTGATTGTAGATGCATTAATATAAATTCTAAATAAAACATTAGTAAACAGAACCCAACAGTACACTGAAAGACTAATACATCAGAAATATAATGAACAAAATAAACTGAGGAGCAAAATAGGTCCAGAGACATGGATACATGGAACAAAATAACAGATCTGGCGGGGGGAGGAGGGTGCAGGAAGAGATTAACCAAAGAACTGGCACATTAATATAATCATCCTTAAACAAACATGCCAGGGGCAAGAAAACTCTTTATCAAAGAAAGTTAGCTAATAAATATAGAAAGATGATAGAATTAGAAAATCACCATTTTGCAACCCCCAAGTTAACCATTGTTTTAGGTGAAGATCATCAATGGATGCTAAAACCATCTTGTGAAAGCATACTTGAGTGTTATGGGCTGAAATGTGTTCCCCCCAAATTCATATGTTGAAGCCCTAATCCCTAGTATTGCAGAATGCAAAATGTGACATATTTGGAGATAGGGCTGTTAAAGAGGGGATTAAGTTAAAATGAGGCCTTTAGGATGATTCCTGATCCAATCTGACTAGTGTTCCTATAAGAAGAGGAGATTAGGACATATAAAGAGACACCAGGTGTGTATAGGACAATATTCTGTCCTTAGCTGCAGATATTAAAATATTCTGACCTGCACTCTTCCTCGTTTTTAACTAAATACACACATAAATGTGAAGATTTGCAACTGGCCTGCCCCAGGATGCAGAAAATCAGTGCGAGAGTTTAAAGGAGACTCTGATCCTCCTATTTAAAGTGGCAGTCCCCCCAAATTTCCAACTCATATCACCCAGCCCTATCCACCCTCCTTTAGCAATTATCACCTCTTAATAATTTATTATTAGCTCTCTTCCCCTCTAGGATGCCAGGTTCATGAAGCTAGGGATTTAGGGGCTCTTCTGTTTTACCAAACATCAGATACTAAGGGCAGTGACTGGTGATCAATAAATATTTGATGAATGAACAAATAGTCTCATATACTTGTAAGTTCTCCCTCTCTTTAGTATTTCCTGCATTACTCATATCAAATCAATTTTATAATTAGTCATATCACCCAGAGATGCCTGCAGAGTCTTTTGGAGGGAATAATTAATCTTTTAAGAAAATGAGTCCAGTGTGTGTGTTTTGCTGCTCTCTACATGTGTGGTAAAGATACCAAAAATAAGCAGTTGATTATTCCACATATGTGAGAAGCAGAAGTCATTGCAGTATCAGCATGAACAAGTCAATGAGCAAACAGTAAATCAATAAGATAATTTCTGATAAAAAGGAAGGCTATGAAGAAAACTAAAGCATGGCAAGGAGCTTAAGTAGTGGGGTAGGTCAGGGAAGAAAGACGCCTGAAGAAAAGACATTTGAGCAGACATGAGTGGCATGATGGGGTGAGCCATGGAGCCAGGGCATGCATATATATATGGCAGGAGCCTCAGTAAGTGTCAAAGCTGTGGAGATCCTGCCTCCTTGCTATCCAACCATCTCCAGTCTTGCCCCATTCAAGGAAGGGGCAGCACTTTTCTCCATGCAAACTTTCTCTTTTTACATATAAATCGACCTAACAATTAAATTTTCGCAATTAATTAAAATACTTAGTTTTAATAATACAACTAATATTTACGCATCTACCATCTACTAGTAAAAGGTAGGGCCTTGACAATAACCTCCATGTATTTATGTGTTACCTCAATTCATTGCCTTGCCTCCCCTCAACTTAGATAAACATCATCCTGAATCCCAAGTTCATCAATTTTTTTATTTCCTTTTTATTTTTTTAAATGTATTATTATTATTGATTTCAGAGAGGAAGGGAGAGGGAGAGAGAACCATCAATGATGAAAGAGACATCATTGATTGACTGCCTCCTGCACGCCGCCCCCTACTGGGGATTGACCCTGCAACCCAGACATGTGCCCCCGACTGAAATTGAACTCGGGACCCCTCAGTCTGCAGACCAATGCTCTAGCCACTGAGCAAAACCAGCTAGGGCATTATTTCCTTTTTATATTATTTTATTACAACTATACAAAATCCTAAATAGTTCATGTTCTCTATATTAGTAGCTTTTAGTTTTATAAAAGTATATTTTACACAATCTTTTGGGAATTATAGGATTTTCCCCCCTTAATATTCATCCATGTTGTTGGATATTATTCTAGTTCATTCATTTTGACTTCTGTTGACGAATATCCATATTTGCTTCCAGTTTTTGCTGGAAACAGGATGCCATGCATAGCCTAGGTTTCATGTGCAAGTGTTTCTCTTGGATATATCCTAAGAGTGGACTGGCTGGATTGTGAGGCATATAAATATTCACTGTAGGAGGGAATGCTAACTATTTTCTAAAGTGGTTTCACTTATTTACATTCTCCAATACTTGGCATTATCACTTAAAAGTTTTGCAAATTGAATGGGTGTAAAATGTCATCTCAACATGTCTTGATTTGTATTCCCCTGATCATTAAAGAATGTTTATTGGCTCTATCTTTTTTTCTTCTCTGAAATGGTCTAACAGATAAACATATTTTTTTAACATAACCTAGTACTATTGTGACACTCAACAACATTAACAATGATTCCTGGCACTCCATTAGAAATGAATGCATACCAAATGTGCTTCCACTGATTCCATTTCTTTTTTCATTTATTTATTCAACAAACACCCATACCAGGGCTACAGGGGTCCCCTCAGAATATCTTCCTCACCTGAGGATTTGGAAAGGCCTACCTCTTTTTGGAGGATTCACTGGAGGAGGAGATATTTGAACTTGGTTTTGAAGTGTAAGCAGGCCTTCCCAGGTGAAGGGCAGCACGACTTCTTCCCCATTTACCCCAGTGACATCTCCCAGAAGGGCAGGGCATCTGCAGAATTTCCATGTTGGAGATGATAAGGGGCAGCAAACTGGTTGAAGGGCAGAATCCGTGTTGTCTTAAAGCTACATTTGCAAACTAAGAGGGTATCACTATATAGGTTTCATTTTATGAGGAAATAAAAACAATAGTTTCTTAAAGATGTTTTTATTGGCATATTGCATTAGGTTAAGAAAAAATAACAAGGCTAAGGGGGGAAGTTGGGGGACATCTGCAATACTGTCAACAATAAAAAGTGCAGTTCAAAAATGTTATTATTCATACATATATTTATTTTATTTTGGGTAGGTGGAGTGGAAGATAATGTAGATTATGAGAACATTCAACCCCTACAGCACAGTAGAGGAAAAGCTAAGACTGACTTCTCCCATTTTCCCTCCAGTGCT